ACATTAGAAAATTAGAGAACAGTTAGAGAAAGTACAATTTTGCCATTATAATTAGCTCTTACAAATAGCCTCGTTCCTGTTTTATGTACAACGTGTACCACAACAACAATAAAAATAAACAAGACATGATTAACCAATCAACTTGTTTGTGGACAGAGAAACAGTTAAGGGCTAAAATGTCCTTAAATAATTCATTATAAAAGTCTTTAAACTGAGTGTTCAGAGGTTACAGGTCCCCACATCACAAATACATTAGGTTGATTCACAGAGTGGTCATCAAAAACCAAAAAGTAAGTTACTTTTGGCCAAAAAAGTATATATCAACAGCATGTTAAGAATATTTCACACAAGAGGACAGAACACACAGAACCAATTCCCTGTGGACCCTAGCATGGTTTGCAAATGGAGCAGTCCCCCAAAGAGAAGACCATCTCCAAAGTATGTTGTTTATATCACAGGCTTTGAGTAATTTCTAATGAAGGAAGAGAAAGTTAAGCCTTCTCTTCAGCATTTCCCATGTAAAGTGACTGCTCTAGCTGCAAAATCATCTTGAATGTCTGTCTTGAATGGGGTATTCAATCTTCCCTCATCACTCCAGGTAAAGCAGGATCACCCAGTATCTCACTCAGAGAATGTCATAATTCGTCCTTATGGTAATTGCACATGATGATGTATTACATATCCAATAAAGTTTATCCAGAAAATACACCAACTTCGGGAAACATGGATCTGATGATATAAATAAACCACTTTTTTTTTCCTTTTGCAACTATCTGTGTCTTTGGTCTAAAATGAAAATCCTGGCCTGATGCAGGCATTTGCAAAGGATTCTCTGCCTTATACAAGCAGAATCATCCACCAGTGATTCTGAACTTACATAGGGGGAAAGGTGTAGAGGATATGGAGTACTACTTTATTCCAAGAAATGCTGTTTTATAGCTTCAGGGTACATACAGTCACAAATGTAACAACAATTGAACAAACACCAGACCCAAAGGCCAAGCATAAGGAAACCTCATACACATATCAAGAAGCAAACACTATCATTAATAATAATAATTATTATTATAGTTATTATCAGAATGAGGCATTGATGGTTCACTTGGGTGCAGTGTATAATACATTAGCTAGAGAGAACCAAGGGCAAACTTATTCTTATCTTTAAAAGGCAGTTTATATTCTGGTTTATATGACATGAGCTATATAATTAACACACATAAGAAAAGGATGCAGGAAGAAGTGAAGACTTATGCCTTTATTTCACTTGTCTTGTTATTAATATCAATCTTAAAAATAATGATGAAAAGGTTAGCTGTTTTACAATATGGGTGTTATGGGGTATGGTAAAATGTCTTTGCAGCTTTAAAATAGTGGCTAGTTCCTACCTCTTTCCTTAGAATGCCTGGCTCAATGCCAAGCTATCAGATTGTTTCCTGACCTTTTGAGGACATTTTAATGGTAGTAATGTCAGATCAGGGTAAAGGAGAAATAGAGAGGATCAGAAGACCGAGGGGAAAAATGAAATGGAAAGAAAAAAGTTTGCATTGTTTACACCATCCAGTCTGGCAAATTTTACAGATGCATTCTGTTTGCTTGGGATAGTTTATTGCTTATGTTATTTCTTTTCTTTTCTTTTCTTTCTTTTTTTTTTTTTCAAATGTGCTTTCCTCTACCAACTTTGGCTGAAAATACTTTGTATGTGTCCATACTGTAAGCCGTCATATTTTTCTAGAGATTTAGTGTAGTTGGAGAAGCTCTTTTTTTTTTTCTTCCCCAAGGGTTATGCACATCAATATTCTAGCTACTCACTTTCGAGGCCAATGGAAAATGTGCTCCTAAGATTAAATAGACCTGAGTAACACATAAATCCAGTTTATACTGATGCAGTATGTTACATAGTTACTCACATCCTGAATTTCTGATGAGTGGAATACACCTTTTGGACAACACACTGCTACTGAACGGTCACTGACTGCAATTCAAAGACAGCAAGCGGGACTAAACCCTAAGTATAGGTTCTCTATGGAGAGCCTAATTTGCCCAGAGCCCTCATCAACTGTGGAGCTCTGTGTGTAAAGGATCTAGTCTAGCCAACAGAAAACTAGATTCTTTAAACATTCTTAGAGTAAACTAGAACAATACATATAAGCACATAGGGAGTGCCCTTTTTTATACAATGAACCATCTCCTTTGACCCTCACTTCCCCAAACACAGTGCTTTTCTTTTTTTTAATTACTCAGACTATTAATATATAATTTCTCCCTTTTCAGACTTTGTAAATGCCCTCTTAGGAAGAAACCTTTCCTTTCTGCCAATATATCTTTAAAAAACCCGATACTTTTAAATCCAGTGTTAGGTCTGGTTTAAGTAGGTTGGCCACATTGATCCACTATGGGTTGGCTGTAACCATGCTGGACTTCTAGTCAGAGCACTATGTTTTCCTTTCACCTCAGATACAGAATTGTGTATAACACAGTCTATATCCCGTCATGAGTCTAACTAACGCTATACAGAACTAGCAGCAAATTATCATCCTAAATTTGAGGCAAGTAAAAAAAAAATGTCAAAGAAAAGTTCCCCCATGAAACCTAGCCAAATGTGTGAAATGTCTCTCTGGTCAACCAAATTGCGCTTTGGCTTACAGATGCATCTAAGAATATTACGAAACACTCTGCTGAGATTTTCTAATCAATTGTTACATTTTAGGAAACATAATGGCAGTATACTCAGAAGAAAAATACTCCTACATATAATGATTAGAACTATTTATCTCAATATTTATAACATTAACATATGAAAATGTCCTTGTGGGCCCAAAATATTTATGGACTAAATGCTGTGATGTCTGGGGTTTGCTTCAAAGTAACATGGTAGTAGAATGGGAAAATGGCAGGCCATGAGTTCATCATTGTGCAAGCTAAGTGATGGGTACATGGGAGTTCGCTATAGTAATGTCTACATTCGTGTATTTGAAAGTTTTCATAATAAAAAATTCAAAAATATATACTGATTTAAACTTTCATTCTTTTACTCATTATTGATTGATTTTGATTGATTCATCTACTCTTTGTATGCAAGATATTGTGGAAATGTGAAAAGTAAAACAAAACACCCAAAATGCTCTTGTCGGACACTTAGGTTAAATAAGCAATTCCTCTTCAGGAATGAATACACACACACACACACACACACACACACATTCGTAAAATGACGTTTATAAGAACCATGTAATTACATGTAAAATTCTTAGGTTAAATTTTGAAATTCTGTAGAAAGTACGTTTACAGCATGTTTTTAAAAATATATATATCCTCAGGGAAAAAATGAGAGTAAAGAAATGCATCAAATGGTTACTAATGATTGGATTTAAATTATAGAAATAATTACTTGTATTTTTCTTCATTTTACTCCTATGTGTTTTTCCAAATTATTTTTAATGAACATGTATCATTTTAAAATGAAAATAAATATTTATTCATTACTGGATAAGATGTGCTCTCCTTTCCCAGGGAGCTTTTCACTAAAAACAGAGAAACTGCAAACACACAGCTTTGCCCAGATACTTTAAATCTTCATACCTAGAAGCGAAATACACCCACAGGAAAAGAAACGTCAATACAGATTTTATCTGATCATAGAAACATAAAGAGCTTTCTGTGTGTTGGACAGAAATAGGGGAGGAACCAGCTTCTCTGCAAGCCAGAAAGAGTGTGAAATTCAGGCCATTTTGTGATGAGATCCTTTAGCCATGAAAGCAATGGGAGCAACAAATTAAAGTTACCAAATAAGCCTGTCCCTGGACTCAGGCCGCTCACACTGATACGCGCGTTTCTTTTAGTCAGTGTAACAAATAAAGCATGGGAATGCACATGGGGTGGTGGGGGTACTTACAATCCTAAAGGCTTGAGGCCTTCGCTGGTGAGATGGATATGTTCAGAGGTAGATGTGTGACAGAATTAGGAACAAAAATACAGCGACAGCTATGGATTATGTGCCATGGATACAGAAAGTCCCTGTTAGAAAGCTATCTTTATTGCCCCAAGAGATTATTTTCCCCATTTTATGCACATTCATATAAAGTGAAGTCAAGAGTGTAACTTTTAAAAGTTTGGATGAATATGATGTTCATGACTAACTCGGCCTGGCTGGAGCCAGACAGAGTCTCATCAGATGCCAAGCAAGTCACCCCCTTTCGTCTTCCTCCCTCTCATTTCAGGGCAGGCCAACCTCTACAAATTCAGCTTTTATGCTCTTTCTGACTTGATGATGCTCTGCGAATATACCCTCAGTCCTGACCTGCACTCTTCCTCTCAGCCACTGACATCTCAAGAAATCAAGAAGGCCACAGTCCCAACCTTCCGGAAACTTCACAAATTTCCACTAAAAGACATGTAGACCTCAAAGTTTTCAAAGCGAGGCTCACTTGCAGCTCTGGTCTTGGCCATATTAATTCATTAAAAAGGTGGCTATCCATATTCATGCTCCTAAAGGACATTTTTCCTCTTCCATTTGTGGGTGTGCACAAGAGCAATCAGGTCTGATTTTCAGATTGGTTCAAATGAAGCGAACGCATTTCAAATGTTTCGCCTATCATAGAATAATAATAAGTAGTTGAAAGCATCACAAGATGTGTTTGGAAGGTTCCGTGTTTGTTTGTTTAATGCCAAAGCGTCCGATGTTCCTGCCAAACAAGGCCTTTGAATGCTTCCACCTCTGCGTAGCAAAATCATTGTGAAATGTTTGTTGAAATCTGTGATCGTAGGTACTTGGGATCACATGTCTTATCATTCTAAATGATGGTATTTCAAATGAACAAACTGGATATAAAATATGTACCGTTCACCAATGTCAAAATATGTTCTGTTCAAATAGTACTTGGAGGTGATGGACACACCACAGCCTTCAGGTTGAATTCTTTCAGAGGCTGGGAGAGGTGTACTTGACTTCTTTGCACCACAATATTCTAGACTGTCATTTAGAAATAATGAAAGTTACTTACCAGACAGCAATGTTGTGAGAAATATCCAGTTAGTGATGGTGAGACATTCTGAAATGAAAAGAATACGGTCAATCCTGGGTATTTAATAAATGTACGACAACACGGTGATCATGTAAAATAACCCATTTGCCTCTCACATTGGGACGGTGCCTCGGTGACACTGTAGGAAGAGTAAAGGATGCTTCCTTTTGGAAGGAACATACAAGGGTGTGCTGAGAAGGTGATGCGTGCAACGGTCTGCATGTTCAGCTCGAAGGGCTCCAGCCAGTTGCAACTAGTTGTGAAAGACTTGCTGCCCATTTCTGCAAATGCACTGTAACTTGTATTGGGAAAGTTATGTTTTATGGTTAATTATCCATGGTCTGTTTGAAAAAATAAATCAAACCATTGTGAACCACCAGGATTTGCAGCTCCATTTGAACTTTACTGTACTTTTGATTAAACATTTTGTAAATAAAAACAAACTGGTTTCTTCTTGTTTTTGGTTGCTTGTTACTTGTGTTCTGGATATAAATATTGCGGCAGTGGTGGGAGAGCAAGTTATGGATTATTTACCCCCTGGTTTCATGAGTTGTGAGTTACTGGCCTTATTCTCCTTCATGAGCATAAATAAATGTATGGTATTATATTCCAAGTCCTGTAAGACAAATGGAACGAGTCAACTGAAACCTTTTAAAACCAAAACCTTTTATGCTAAGTCACAGAGCAACAAAACAACCCCCAAATTAACATTTAAAGAGCTTCTACTGTGGAGCAACGAAATCCCCCAATATTATATAATCTGCATTTTAAAAACTGCTTGCCTAACAAGCAGCAGTCTATCAATAATTCCACATGCTTGTTTTTTCCTCTGCTTTTATAATTTAGAAGCCATAGATGGTTTATCAGAGATCACCTCCCACCCCCAATATCACCACCAGAATGACGCCTTGAAAATAACCAGCATAACTAACCGAAGCCAACATAGATTTAGAAAGATCTGGAATTATTGTAACTAAAAGTAATGAAACTACGTAAAAGAAAAACTATATAAATTTGTCTATATTCATCATCCTAAGACTTATATAAATAAAAGAAATCTAAAAAATAATTGTCCAGGGAAAATGAGAAAAGCCAAGATTCAAAGGACCCTGTAGCACAGTGCAAGAGGAATATGTTTGAGACCCAGAATTTCCTAAGTTCCTGACACATCTGCATATGAAACTTAATGAGAACCACCAAAGTAGCTTGCCAAAAATTATGTTTTTTTAAATAACCCACTGTTCGCAGCACTGACCGATGAAAAGGACCTCTAGGAAATACACAAAATTGCCTTCTGCAATTTGCTACTTTTATAAAGACAGAGGCAGGATAATAAGGGGTTTCTTATAAAATGGGGTGATCTGTCCATTGCTGGGACTTGAGCGCTGCATCTGACTTCATCTTATCCCTTTACTCCTCTCGTGGCTTACTGCTCACCTGCGTAAGCACTGGGAGGAAAGTGCCACAGCAGGTCCCTCATCAGCTCATAAAAACGTGGTAAAATATTTATGAAGGGGCTACTATATGCTACTATATGCACAACTAGAGTAATTCTGTTTGGAAAGGTAAATCAGTGGCTAAGGGTCTTGTCACAGCATTTAAAACTATCTATTACTAATGCCAACAGCAAGGAGAAGTGAGGTTGAAAGTGTTGTGAAGGACTTCTGAAAAATGAGAAAATGTTTAAAACTCTCCCTAGCTTCTCGCATGTCCTGGGAACATAAGGCGTAGGCCTGCTAGCCCTTCTTAGCCTGGATCCCATATTACAAAAGAAAAACTAGAAGTGGCCTGTTTCCAGGGCCCTGGTTACAATTGAAAATGAAGGCTGAACGGAATTAGTTGGCAGCCATTGGACGCCGGAAGGTCAATTCTGCCCTAAGTATGGTCCAGAGAGTGTAAAAACCCACCGAGATGAAAATGGAAAACTATTCTGAGAAACAGGCAGAAAAAAAGTTCAAAGATATTTTACTTCAACACATTTTTCTCTATTTCTTTTATGATACATGCTTCCAACTATTTTGACAATCAAGAAAATGCTCATTGATAGAGTTCTAAGTTGTCTTTTAAATCGTTCCCTGCATACAGAGTGTTACAGAGCGCTGGTTACTGAGGAATAATCATGTTCAAATTGTATTATAAAGTATGGTATTTTACATGATGCAGGTATATACAAACCGAATTGTATACTGGAATCTAAACTCAGCTATAACACATGTAGAGGGACACTTAGAAAAAATATACATAGGAGTATGTTTTCCTGGTGAAAGACTATTCTGATTGACTGTCATTATTTTTCCATAAACAAATCTACCTGAGCCATAGATTTTTTTAAAGACAAAAACCAGGAAGTGTATTTATAAATGGTTAAAAATATACCCTAGCTTACTCATGATTCATTAAGACAATTAAAGATGCCCCCATCATCAGAGATGCAGAGACATGATAATCCCAAGCCTCTTGATCACTCGGTTGTTGCAAGAGAGACAAATTCAGGCAAGGAAACCTGAAAAACCAGACAAAATTCGCCTGGCTTTGATTTTTATCTTTATGCACCAGATTTTCCCATACAAAAGGAGTCATAAATTTAATAGCTAACACATATTAAACAAACTAGGTAAACAAACTAGGAAACAGCCAAAATCTTTTTTTTTTTAAGTGAAGGAACACTCATCTCTTACCTTCAGTAAAATCAAATGAACCATTTCATCTGCCTTTTCCATCCAGAAGGAAAGTATGACCTACAGCAATGTTATTGACCTCAAATACAAGGAGGTGAAGTGCCTCAAGAGTTCTACTCACGTCTGCCCTCTTCCTTGACTGTTTTCACCTTCTCACAGATTACATTAAGAACGATCAGAACTACCACCAGAAGTACCCCTCATACATCTGCTCTTACCTTCCTCTAGCAGATATCCGACAATGCCTAGTCAGGCTCTCTCTACCATTTTGGCATCCATTTTAAAACTATTCAATAGGCAGAAACTCAAAAGGAAGAATAAAACAAAATCAACAAGTCCTCCAACCTCCCTCATCAGGTGTATGTCTGATTCCCAGAGGACACGAGTCCATTAAATGAAATAAAATATTGTAACAGGGAAGGAAGACTGATAAACTTCACACAAATCTCACCGAGTTCCCACTCATGCTGGGAAGGGAGTTATTCTAGTGAAAACACGGGGGTGTAGGAAAGGAGTGAAGGGCTACAAAGGGAATAGGAGACATAAAGGTGGTGCAATGGACCCAAAGGTGTTCCAGGGAATGGTGTGACAGAAAGTTCAAAAGGAAAATTCCAGAAACTGCAAGTTTTTAAGTGGAACTGTTGTTTAGGGGATAAATTCTATACGGAGTTTGAATTAAGTGTGTGCTATAGCATCTAGATGTTTTCTTTTTCATTAAGACTTTGGAGTTTGAATGTAGTTTGTCATGAGAAAAAAACATGAGAGCTTTATACAGCCCCCAAAGTAAAAGACATGAGAAAGACAGGGTTTATATAACTGGCTTTTTACATAAATATTACATCAGGATACTTTTCAAATGAAAACACACACAAACACACACACACACACACACACACACACACACACACAGCCGTCTTCCTTATCCTCTATTTTAAAATTCATTTCATACTTTAAATGTTGTTGATTTTTCACAAAACAAGTAAAAACCAAGTCAGCATTAAACACCTCAGAATAATTTCAGTCTTATATTACTTGGAAAATTTACCACATCATGGTGGGTCACAAAATCCTGTTTAAAGCCATTTGAGGCACTGACAATTATGGGATGTTTTGCTGCAGCCTAGGGCAACTAGAAATGGCCACGGATGTTAACTAACTCCCTCCTCAACAGTCTGAGAAAAGGGAAAAAAAAACTGTAAGTTTCCCCATCTGTTATTTCCTTTTTTTTTCTTTTTGGCTGTGGAAAAGTAAAATTATGCAAGAGCTTTTGAATGTAAAGGCTGTGTGTGCTTTTTCCCTTTTTGTCTCTGTGTACCGGTTATGTGATGTTGCGTAACTGAGTACAGAGTAGGCGGTTAGCGTTTACTATTGATTTACACTATGCCATCTAATGAATTCATAGCACTCAAAAGAAAGGAACGAGAGGGGGAGGGAGGAAAAGGAAAGGAGGGAAAGGAGAGGGTAAAAAAGAGGAACAGAGGAAAGAGAGAAAGAGCTCATTTAGAGAAACAGTTCTAATATCCAGAATAGTTTCATTCTTATTCCCTCTAGCTCTTTTGGTTGTTGTTCAGGTCTCAGAAAAAAGGACTTTGAGCCAGTGACCCCAATATTCCAATCTTATTTCTAATGAGGATCACTGACAGGTGAATGTCTGAAAGTACTAATGTGTCAAATGACTTGAAAGCAATTCCACTAAACTGTCAGACTTCTCCGTATGCACTTATTTATGATTCTCTCTGTGCATTTGGGAATCTGTATCTATGATAGCCAATGCGATGGTCCGACTGGTTTACCTAGTCACAGATATTATTTGAAAGACACATGGGGCAAAGAGAAATATGTCCCACTCTACCCATCTCCTTTGAAAACTGCATAAAGGATGCGTTTAGAAATCTTTGAATAGGTCACTATTTTACTTTGGAAGAAGATATGCCACAAATTATTTGGCTCCACAGAACTGCCTAAGACAGGAATGTCAAAGAGAAATGGGCAGAACGAGAAAAGATTCTAAACTGATGAACAACACTTGAAAAAGAAATTTAAGTAATTTCTTATATTATGCCTATGGAGAGTACTCAAAATATAACTTTTGATCAGGATGATGGTAGACATTCCTAGTCCTCAGTGTTTCCCCTGCTATACAGTGAGCTCCCAAATTATAGGCTGGAAAGGAAGGGTGAAGTTGATTCTGCTGCTAGGCATGGGACCTTCCTGTACCTGAGTGCCCTCCAATGGCTGAGAACAACTACTAATGTGAGGAAGATAAGCAGACATTTTCTTTATTAGCAGCCAGCTTGAGGGCAAGGCAGGGAGCTGGTTTCCTTTCTGAATGCGGGTTTGTAAATGGTG